AGAACTCAAAGAAATGGAGGAACTATGTCACAAGGAGTAGCCACAATAGAAAATGCTAGTCATGATAAGAACAACTCAACAAGAAAGGAAATACTATGTAACAACGGTCCACAATATACAGTTCGACAATGAGGGAGCTAACACAAGTCGAATAATTCCAAATAAGGATAGTCAACTAAATTATAGGATATGTAACTTCTTTTAAGGTTAGGCAACTAGGAAAGAGATACAACAAATTCAACAAGGATAAGCAGCAGAAAGATAATCTTAGCCTCAATTAAGGGTGAACAATTATAGAAAAGATAATTATAACTTCAAATAAAGATAAGCAGTTAGGAAATGATAACATGGCAATAGAAGAGATAACAATTTCAGTTAAGGCACTGAAGAATCAAATAAGCAACAAGAGTGGATCATGAAGCAATTAATTCTAATTAAAACAGGTAGAGGTGAAACTAGTAATTAAGAGACGTATTCATAACATAACAACTACATAATCAGTGAATACAAGGACCTAAGAAACCTAAAAGGTTAATTTTTCACAAATAAGTCCGAGCACGTACTCGTCACCTCGTGTACACGGACTACAATTAGCATAGAAGACTCAAATCCTAAGGGGTAGTTCCCCCACACGAAGTTAGGCAAGATACTTATCTCAAAAAAGACAGACCGATACTCAAAAATGAACTTCTCGGGTGAAATGGCCTCCGACTGCTCAAATCTAACCAAAATAACTTCAAAGCACAAATAAAACTCATAAAAAACTATTCCGAATCATAAAGCCTCAATCTTTATCGAAATCTAAAAATCGACCCAAAAGTCTACCCCGGGCCCGCACCTCGGAACTCGATAAATTTTTACAAAATCCGAACACCCATTCCGATACGAGTTCAACCATACTAAAATTGTCAAATTCCGATACCAATTCGTCCCTCAAAACATGATTTTTCATTTTGAGATTTTTCTTCAAAAATCCTCATTTTCCTCACTCAAAAACACTAATTAAATGATAAAAATAAAGATAAGATCATGGAATATAATAAATTCTAGGTGAAGAACACTTACCCAATCGATTTGCTTGAAAAACCCACAAAGAATCGCTCAAAATCGAGCTCTACAAGTCAAGATATGATAAAAATGGCATAACCCTCGATTTGGAAAATATATTCTGCTGCCCAGGTGTTTGTACATCGCGATCACGGAAGAGGAGTTGCGATCGCGAAGAGAAAATGGCTACTGCCCAGAATTGGTGTTGTGCGATCACGAACAAGCATATGCGATCGCAAAGAAGGAAAATAATGGCCCAGGAACTGGGCTATGCGAACGCGTGAGGTGGCACGCGAACGAGAAGGAGGGGAAAGCACACTTATGCGTTCGCGGATAGAATAATGCGAACGCGTAGAGGAAATGGTCACTAGCTCCCAACTCCTAGTTTCTACTACGCGAACGCGATGGAGCGGATGCGAACGCGAAGAAAGGGAAGGCTGGCTTCCGCGATCGTAGAATGAGTTATGCGAACGTGAAGAATAAATAATTCATCCTCCAAAATTACACTATGCGAACGCGGAGAAAGTGACGCGGACGTGATTAAGGAAACCAGATGACAGAAAACAACAGTCCAAAAATAAGAGAAAATGGCCCGTAGCCCATCCGAAACTCACCCGAGGTCCCCGGAACCCCATCTAAACATACCAACAGGTTCCATAACCTAACACGAACTCACTCGAGGTCTCAAATCACATCAAACAACGCTGAAACTACAAATCGCGCCAAGAATCGAACTTATGAACTTTCAAATCCTTCAACTTTTCCAACTTTCGCCGAAATACTCCAAATTACCCTACGGACCTCCAACTCCAAATCCAGACACACACCTAAGTCCAAAATCACCATTCTAAGCTATTGGAATCATCCAAAATCCATTCCGGAGCCGTTTACACAAAAAGTCAAATTCCGATCAACTCTTACCGCTTAAGCTTCCAAAACTTGAATCTTCCTTCCGATTTGACTCCGAATCATCCGGTAACTGAATTCAACCATGCACGCAAGTCAATACACATAATACGAAACTTTTCAAGACCTTACGCCGCCGAACGAGACTTAAATTTTCAAAATGACCGGCCGGGTCGTTACACACATGAAGGTTCATAACAGAATTGCTGGTTGTGCAGCCTGCTGATTATGAGCCTCCTTTCTTTAGAAGCTGCACTGAAGAGGAGGCTGTTAATCCATGGGCTAAAAGTCCTTTAAAAATGGAGGTTGACGGTGTCAACATCAAGCATTTTGTGTTAGCTCTGAAGGTATTGCCATTTATTGCAGGAAGGAGTTAATAGTTTTAAGTTTAATGTTCAATCAGTAAACATTATATGGGTATTGCACAGGTTAAGAGCGTGCTTGATCCTTGTGAGGATGAGAAGGACGATAATCAAGATAATAGTGTGAGCTTGGGAGCTGATTCCTTCTAGGGAGATGACAGTGAATTTGATAGTGAGGTAGAACATTATTTCTCTCCTCAATCCTATGTAAAGCTTGACTGCACTTACTATCCTCTTAAATTTGTTTGCACGGACTAAAGTCTGCGAGATGATGATATATTTCAGTTCAGTCACTCTGATGATGACCAATACATAGTTGCACCAATTGATAATACATGTGTCTACACTTGGTGGATTGTTTAAACATTTCCTACCTCAGTATTTCTGAATCACATAAGTCTAACTAAGAAATGATCTCTTCACAGAGAAGCAAGATGCTCAGGATAATGGTAATATGGCTGATGAAGGTACTGTTACTACTGCCAACTTCTTGCTGGACATAGTGCCAAGTACCTCTAATGTGCTACTTGAATTTTCAGATGATACTCAGGATCCAGCAGAAGATGAACAACAATTTGATAGGTTAAAGGAGTGGATCAACTCATACCACCTTGACAGAATTAAAGTGACTGATGTTCTCTCTCATTTCCCTGACATCTCAGAGGTAAAAACTCTGGTGCTGGTAGTCATGTAAAGTGCCTGTTTCTCCCACAACTGACCAGTTTACCTAATATGCCTTCCTGGTTGCAGGTCTTGGTTGAAGGTGATGGAAGGACCTCTAATGAGGGCATGCTAAACCTACGCTTCATAAAGGAGATTGTTCAAATAATCTTCATCCAGTGCCTAAAGTTTTGGCCCAAAAAACTATTAGAAAAAGCTAAGATGAATAAAGCATCTTTACTATCAAATTTAAGTAGTTCTACAGTTTCTTTTTCCTTTCATTTTGATTTCAGAAATTATGGAAAAGCTTGTTAAGGAAGGCATTCTTTCAAGTTTTGGCACTGACTGTTACATTATTAACAAGCAAACGGTTTGTTAATTTTTCCTTTACTGGTTAATAGTTTCCATATATATTTCCTTCATTTGATCGTAATATATCCTTTTTGGAATACCACTATTCCAACTAATACTCAATTAGCAATCTTCAAAGTAACTATTAGCGATCTTCAAAGTAAACTAGGAGGAGAGGCAAATCGAACTACTGTGAAGAAGCTAATAGATAAAATGACACAAGATGGCTTTGTTGAGGCTGGGAGCAACCGCAGGCTAGGTACCACTGGCAAACTGCATTTTTGGCTTTGCACGGAGGAGAAAGATATAAATAGCAGTTACCATCATTTGCTGGATTGCTTTTGTTATTGCAGGCAAGCGTGTGATCCACTCTGACTTGACTGAGAAAAAGCTGGTTGAGGTTAAGAAGGTCTTAGAGCAAGATGTCATGGTAATAATCACGAGGTTATATGAGTTCAATAGCTTATGCACTGCCAAAGTTTTAACTTATTTTTTTACTATGTTCATTGGTCAGGATGTGGACATGAACAATTCAGGTAATAACTCCAACTATTCAGAACTTCCCATAGTACTTACTCCGGTTACACACCTTTCAAAATTGTGTCTAGTGCATACCACTTTTTTTTGACCAATTTTTTAGAACATATGTAATGTCACGCACCAATAACATTGTGGCACTTGTTAATAATTTTTTTATAAAAATAAAACACTTAAATTTCTCTTGACCAGTTTCTCTTTCCTCGTCTCTTTCTCTTTCATAAGAAAAACAGAAGCACCACCATAATTAGATTCTTCTCTTTCTTTGAAGACCCATTTTTTTCATCATCTTTATTCTTCTTTACCAGTATTTTTGTTTCTCTAAAACTTTTTCACTATTTTTTGGTTTCTGGGTTTTATTTGTTTTCTTTGCTATGGAAACACCATTTTAATCAATGAGTGTTGCCACTGTAACAGTGGCCGAAAAATGGAGGTCGTCGTCGTTTACCTTTTTTAACCAAACGAGACCAGATCTGAATGAAGAACCACCAACTTGTCGGAAAGATCTGAGAGCTCCACCCATCCGAAGAACATTTGAGCACGTCGGCCATGAACTGATAGTCGAAGTAATGACCTGGCAACGGAGATCGTCACCGGAGTTATAAGTTATGGCCGAGATCTACTTAAAGGAGATGAAAGGGGAGGAGATGGGGAGGCGTGTGAAAGAAAAGGGAGCTGCAGTTTTCGTCGGATTCCGGGACGGCAGGGGCTCCAAATGGGGAAGAAGGGCCTGGACATCTTTTTCTTTTACTTTAACTATTAAATTAAGAAAATAAGGGGGGAAAATAAGATTTAGACACGTGTGCTTATATAAGAATTTAGGCAGATAATGCATAGGTTTGAGGCGCTCATTTTGTTTGTTAAACACACGCGTGCGTGCCATCTGGCAAAAATGGTGTGTGTATAATATGTTATTCATCATTAAAAAGTGTGTATATATATATATATATATATATATATATGATCGCTTATGTTTATTCTAATATCTCTTGTGTTTAAAGTTAATGATCTCTTATGTTTTGTTGTAAGATCTCTTATATAACTAGTTTAAAGTTTATATATGATCTCTTATATAACTAGTTTAGATCTCTTATGTTTTGTTGTAAGATCTCTTATATAACTAGTTTAAAGTTTATATATGATCTCTTATATAACTAGTTTAAAGTTTATATATGATCTCTTATATTTAAATCACAAGAGATCGATGGCGATGGAAGATGTTCCGAATGAAACTGCTTCTGGGTCGGTGTCCAGTGCAGATGAGGTTGAGTCACAGGAAGGTGACGAGGAAACGCCGGAGGAGGAGACTGACAATGAAGAAGCAATGAAAAATGACGATAAGGATGAGTCAGAGAAAGATAGTGCTGAGGAGGAAACTGATGAGGAACAAACAACGGAAGATGACGATGAGGACGAGTCAGAGAAAGATAATGCAGAGGAGAAAACTGACGAGGAACAAACAACAGAAGATGATGACGGGGACAAGTCAGAGAAAGATGGTGCAGAGGAGGTGGAAGTGATGGATGAGCAAGAATTTGCTGCTCGAAACACAAATAATGTCCAAGCTGGGAAAAATGAGGTAACTCAATTTTTTTGTTCCACTCGAATTTGTCGAAGCTGGGGAAAATGAAACACAAATAATGTCGATTTTGCTGCTCGAAACACAAATATAACTCCAGGACTCTGTATCGAAGTGATTGTTATTTTTCTTCTACATTTGTATTTTACGTTTGAAGTTAATAATATTTCTCAAATGTTTAAATGTCTTAAATTTCTAATCATTGTATTATATATATATATATATGAGATCGCTTATGTTTATTCTAATATCTCTTGTGTTTAAAGTTAATGATCTCTTATGTTTTGCTGTAAGATCTCTTATATAACTAGTTTAAAGTTTATATATGATCTCTTATATTTATTCTAATTTCTCTCGTGTTTAAAGTTAATGATCTCTAATATTTTGCGGTAAGATCTCTTATATAACTAGTTTAGATCTCTTATGTTTTGCTGTAAGATCTCTTATATAACTAATTTAAAGTTTTTGTTAATTTACTGTACTAGTTAAAAGTGTTGTAAGATCTCTTATATAACTAGTCTAAAGTTTATATATGATCTCTTATGTTTATTCTAATATCTCTTGTGTTTAAAGTTACTGATCTATTATATTTTGCTGTAAGATCTCTTATATAACTAGTTTAGATCTCTTATGTTTCTTTGTAAGATCTCTTCTATAACTAGTTTAAAGTTTTTGCTAATTTACTATTTTAAAGTTTTTACTGTAACTAGTTAAAAGTGTTGTAAGATCTCTTATATAACTAGTTTAAAGTTTATATATGATCTCTTATGTTTATTCTAATATCTTTTATGTTTAAAGTTAATGATATTTTATGTTTTGCTGTAAGATCTCTTATATAACTAGTTTAAAGTTTTATCTAATTAATTGTTTTAAAGTTTTTACTGTAACTAGTTAAAAGTTTTTGCTAATATGCAATTGAATATGTAGGAAAACTTGCATGATGATCCACCTGCATCTGTGAAGTTGAGATACAATCTTAAAACAATTCAAGACGAAACTGGTTATTTTCCGGGTAGAGTGACAGTTAGGTGTAGGATAGATATGCTATAGAGAGTTTGAAAAATTCTATTATTTGGACGGAGTCCAATGAAGTACTTCCTTTTTTACGTAAAGCCTTTCTAGATCAAGTTGTTGACATAAATGTTGATTGCTGGAAGAATTGCTTTCACGGCCTCTTGTGTCATTATTTGTTGCTAAGGGAAATTAAGACAAAGAGAGAAAATGAAATGCGATTTTTGATTTGCAATAAACCTATTCTCTTTGGGATGAAGGAATTTTGCCTTGTTACTGGATTAAATTGTGGCCCTCTTCCAAGTGAGAGCCAGTCAATGCAAGTTTACCAGGATAGTTTGGATTTTGTAAAAAATGTGAAGAAATATTGTTCTTCATTAGAGGGGTTAGAGGGGGAAGATGAGAAGGATAGTTTGGTTGGTGAAGATCTTTTACAGGTTATAAGATCTAGAATAAAGACATTCGCTGCAGTAGAGAAATAAGGTGTTGCTGTCTTATACATTATCCACTCAGTCTTATTACACAACTAGAAATTTCATAAAAACCGACCAAGGTCGACCGACCAACTTTGGTCGGTCAAAAAACCGGCCAAAAAATAAACCAAATTTGGTCGGTTTTTTAAAATATTTTATTTTTTAATTTTGTTTTACGAAGCCGACCAACTTTGGTCGGTTTTCTTTGGCGCAAAAATGCGGGAAACTATTTTTGAGTCCCGCGAAATTTATTTTTCAAGAAACCGACCAACTTTGATCGGTTTTTCAATTAAAATAAATAAAAACTAATATTAAAAAACCGATCAAAATTGGTCGGTTAATTCGGCCGGTCATTTTAAAAAATTGACTAACTTTGGTTGGTAATTTTATTTTTTAATAAAACTGACCAACTTTGGTCGGTTATTTTCGTGCGAAAATACAATTAAAGAGTATAAATCAAATAAAAGACAGTCTTAAAACAAAATGCATCAATGGTCTAGTGGTAGAATAGTATCCTTCCACAGTACAAACTCCGGTTCGATTCCAGATGGTGAATCTTTTGATTACATAATTTCCAGATGGTAGAATCTTTTTATTGCAATATTTGTTTTTTGAATTTAATTGACCGACCAAAGTTGGTCGGTAATTTCCGACCAACTTTGGTCGGTATGCCTTTTCGACCGCTAAAATACTGTCCACACATAAATGGTCGTATTTTGGACGGTTATTGACCATTACCGACCAAAGTTGATCGGTTTTTTTGGTCGATTTTTACCGGATTTCTAGTAGTGTTAGCTGTATACGATGTTAAGCAAGTGTCAGAGGACTACCTAGCATGGGTGACCAATCCAACATTCTTTGTATCATATTCTTGGGGTCGAGTGTTCTTTAATCTCACACTTAAAAGTTTAAGAAAGGATCTTCATCATAAGGCAACAGAGCGAAATAAAAAAGGTAGAAACAAGTATTTCAAAAAAAGAAGAATCCACAATCTTACATTATTGGAGGTTTCGCTGCTGCTTTTCTTGTAAGTTTCATTGTTAATTAAGCGTTATTATTTTCTTATAACATCTTCTAATTTAATAGCAATATACATATGTTTCCCTTGATATGTATGGGCTTATGAAGCAATAGATGTGTTTGGATCTAATCTTGGAAAGGAGTCTTTGGCTTTGGATAATGCAATACCCCAAATCGTTCAATGGAATTCGAAAAAAACTCTACAGCACTTGAGTTATGATTGGTACGATAAGTTGATAAGTAAAAATGAGGTATGGTTTTGTTACTGATAAAATATTACTAATATTAAATAAGTTAACGGATAGAAAAATTATTACTAATATTAATTTGTGGTATTGTATCACAAGTGCATTGCATTCCAATAATGAAGACATCTAAGAAAGAATCTAAAAGCAAATGCGTAAAGTGCTTTGAAGAATTGGTGGACGAGGAAGACGGAACTATTGATGAGTTAGTAAGAGAGTCGAATAAAATAGAGGTCTTAGGTCCTCTTGATGGCATAGATGAGCAGCAACAATAAGGGCAAATCCAATAACATGAGCTTGAACAAACACATGTGATTAATGAAGATGTTGCTGAGCAGAGGAAAGTGATTAATGAAGAGAATCGTCTCCATGCAAGTCCTCTACCGGAAAAAGAATAATGTGCACATGAGACACCTATAATGGGTTATAGTCTGAATGATTTTAGTATTTCTGGTACTGCTGCTTTTGGTTTTAATAGGCTGGCTTCTAGTTTTGATGGATTGCATTCTCGTAGTAAAGCTGGTATTAAAGATGGTTTTGAGGAGCGATTAGGCAAGGTTGAGGAGTATTTAAAGATACATTCAGAAAAGGTGAAAAAATCTTTGGATGATATTCAAAAAAGTTTGAATTATTTGGTGAAGATACATGATACTAAAGTTTCAAAGGATATTAGACGTCCAGCCAAATTTAGGAGCCCCTCTTAGACAAGTGATGGACGACCATAAAGGAAACATAGAGAAGCTGAAATGAAAAGGCAATCGTGCAAGCGTCGTCGACTGAGAAAGAGTACTATGGAAATAGTTACCCTTTTTTCCTTTTGCCCTCTTGAGCTGAGGGTCTTTCGAAAATAGCCTCTCTACCTCTTCGGGGTAAGGGTAAGGTTTGCTTACACACTACCCTCCCCATACCCCACTAGTGGGATTTTACTGGGTTGCTGTTGTTGTTGTTGTTACTTACTGTGCAAATATTTTGAACCATCCAATTGCTGTCAAATGTTTAAATGTTTAGAATCTAATGATCTCCCATGTTATATATATATATATATACACACACACACACACACACACACATTGTGATGACTCAAAAGGTCATCTTATGTTTTAGACCTTAAATCTGCGCTCTTAAGCCTTGGAAATCTTATATTTATCCTCCTCGATTTGCATGCACAGTCCGGACATATTTCCAGAAAGCTTTATGTTGAAAATTGATGAAAACAAGAATTTATGCCTTAAAAAGTTGATTTTATTTGATTTCGGTCAATATTTTTAATAAACGGTCCCAGATCCGTATTTTGATGGTCTCGGTGGGTCCGTATCGAATTATGGGATTTGGGCGTATGCCCGGAATCGAATTCCGAGGTCCATAGCCCGAGAAATAAATTTTTGACTAAAATTGAATTTCAGAAAATTAATGGTTTTAAAGTATATGCTTAATGCTTGATTTTGATGGTATCGGGCCTGTATTTTGGTTCCGGAGTCCGGTACAGGTTTGTTATAATATCTGAACTATGTTTGTGAAATTTGATGAGAAACGGAGTTTAAATGACGTGATTCGGATCTTCGGTTGAGAAAATAGTAACTTTAAGTGTTCTTGAGAATTTCATTGATTTTGATGCTAAATCCATAGTTTTAGGTGTTATTTTGGCGATTTGATCGCACGAGCAAGTCCGTATGATGTTGTTATACTTGTGCGCATGATTGTCTTGGAGCCCTTAGGGCTCGGCTGAGTTTCGGATAGGCTACGGGGTGATTTGCACTTAGAAAATCTGAGATTTTGCCTGCAGCAGTTGTTCTGGTGTGCCCTTCTTCGCGTTCCCGTAGGTAGTGTCGCGATTGCGAAAGGTAAAATGGGGGCAGAGGAATTTTCTTCTTCGCGAACACGAAGTATTGGGGGTGGTACCCTTCGCGAACACGATCAGTCTCCCGCGAATGCGATAGTTTAAGGGACCTGGGGGAGGGGAGGGTCATGTTCTTCTACGCGAACGCGACTATTGGGTCGCGAACGCGAAGGCTTGGGGGGAGCTGCCTTACGCAAATGCGTAGAAAGACTCGCAAACTCGAAGGCCTTAGGCCGCTGTGCATCGCGATCGCGACAGGCCTCTCACGAACGCGATGAAGGCATGTTCAGTGTTTTAAAACAGACTTCAAAGACGAGATTTGTTCAAAATTTTACCTTTTCTTTACTTGAACTCAACCTTGGGCGATTTTTGAAGTGGGAATTCAACACCAAATTATAGGTTCATGTTCTTAAACTCATTCCTTTCAATTTTCTTTAACACCCACTAGATTTCTAGGCCTAAATCTTGTTCTTTAAGGGTAGAAACTAGGGATTTTAGGAGAATTGGGGATTTTGTAAATTTTGGAATTTAGACCTCGATTTGGGGTGGGATTCCGGAACTAATGACATATTCGGGCTCGGGGGTGAATGGGGTAAATGGAGTTTGGTCCGAACCTCGAGTTTGGACCAAGCGAGCTCGGGGTCGGTTTTTGACTTTTTTTGAGAAAATTTAGTAAATCTGTAATTATTCATTAAAGTTAATTCCTTTAGCGATAATTGATGGTATTAAGCTATTTGTGACTAGATATGAGTGAGTTGGAGGTGAATTCTAAGGGAAAAGCGATACTTGAGCAGTTAGTGGCCTGCGAATCGAGGTTAGTGTCGTGTCTAACTTTGGCTTTAGGGAATAGGTATTATGTGTTTATTCGCTACGTGTTTGGTTGTTAAATACGATGTATAGGTGAGGTGACGAGCATCTATGCATCGTTGTCGAGTCATAGCATGCGAGTGAAATTCTATTCTTGTCTATTTTGTAGCCTTAAATTCTAATATTCATGCTTAGCGGGTTATTTAAAATATTGTGTGACTTATATCTGGTTTCACTAAGATTTGGTAACTTTCGAATATTGATTCGAGGTTGAGGTTACATGGTGCTATTGATTATGGGTAAAATACTGGTTTTTTTATAATACTCCTATCTATCCGTTATTGATTCTGTGATTTGTGAAGAGGAGTGTAAAGCACGAAGGATGATGTCGTGCCGTGATATGTGAGTGTTAATGCACGAAGGGTAATGTCGTACCATGATTTATGAGTGATAAAGCACGAAGGGTGATGCCATACATATTATGAGATGTTTAATGCACGAAGGGTGATGCCATACATATTATGAGATGTTTAATGCACGAAGGGTGATGCCGTGCCATTCTATTTATTTATTTAGTGAGGTTGAGAGTAAAAGCACGAAGGGTGATGCCATGCAGTTTTCCTTTGCTGTTTTATTTGCTCAATTCATTTAAGAATTTTCAGTTTAATTCTGTCTTTTCATTATTCTCACTCTTTATATTATATTCCCCCACTGTACGTTCCCTTCCCATTATTTCTGCATTAATTCTTTATTTACTGTTGTTGCTACTAGCATGATTATACTGTTCAGGTT